TCTTTGATGAATCCAAAATTTGAGTATTTTTCTATGTTATGTTCATGTTTATGTTCATAAACTTTTTATTTAATAAAATATGTTTTCATAGTTTGTGTTGTCCCTTATTATCAATGCAAAATGGTCACTAACTAAAGAGGATTTATGCTGATATTGCCCAAAAACCCTATTTTGTTCAGGCGTTTCCAAACTTTTGGAAACTGTGAAACAGTAGCGGCCCATATTGTTGAGTTATCCACATACAGTAATTGAGAATTGTCCCCATAATAATTGTACACACAGAAAATATGTATATTCTGAATATTGCTAAATTACAATGCTATTCTTTTGCATTGAACTACCAAATGTGATTTGGTATAAATGTGATGTGATTTGGATGTATAATATATGACCCTCACTAAATTGGTAAAATATATCTGTGACTTATTCTCTTTGTAACATCCAGGACTGAGACTGGTAACCGGTTTGAGTCATTTGCAATCAGTTGTCTTGATGAAAACAATAAATAAACTCATTCCTCCCCTCAATAGGAAGGCCTGATGTTTGTCTCTTGCAAAACAGAATTGTTTGAAGCTCTAGCTGATTACGGAAATCAAGAATAAGCTGAAAATAATACACAGAAACTAATGCGCTAAGGGCAGGCTAATGTTTATTACTGCTCTCTCCTGCCTTTTCTCTCTCTCACGCAATGGACATCTGGAACAGGAAGTAATTACAGAGCATGCTAAAAGGAGGCCATCATTGCTTAGCTGTCAGCTCCAAAGGGAAGTGACCTGTTCACCTCTGCGCAGCTACTTTCCCCAAGTGGCTACAGATATGGACACTACTTCAAAAGGCAGAGTTAATCAGTGTCCAAAGCCAGGCCTCCACTAGCAATTTCCATCCAAGGCTACAGTTATGCTGTCAGTTCTGGCTTTGGTTTATAATTAATATAAATGTTTGTACTTTTTAATGAGAGCATTTCAACTGATAAAAATAATGTTCATTGTACATGACTTTTTTTTATGTTTTAACTACACCCTTGACAACTATCACTGGGAAATCCTAAAACTTTTTAGATAAATGTTCTTTTCTTGCAGGTTGTAATGTATTACATGGCAATGCTATTTTTCTGTTTATATATCAAGCTTAATCAAAGGGCATAGTTTAGCTCCTATGGAAGAAAATTTTGGTATGGTGACTACTTTCACAGTACACAAACATTCCACAGTTTTTCAGAATTGACCAATATGCATTATTATGGAAACAAATCCTGGACCTAAGCAATTGCAGACTCCATGTCACAAATGTGCTTCCTTTGATGGGATTATATTGCAGCTGTGTACTTAAAGATCGGAATGGAAACAGCTGGTGATTTTTTTTTATATAGGTCTGTTACCGCTAAAGAACTGTGCTACTGTTTTTCAAGCTCCTGCACATATTCTGCAGACAATTTTTCAAGAACAGGGCATGTATACACCCTCACTGGCCACTTTAATAGGATCATTCATGCAGTAGTGCAATGCATACAATCATGCAGATACAGGTCAAAAGCTCCAGTTAATGTTCACACCCAACATCAGAATAAGGGAAAAAAAAAAAAAAAAGTGATCTTGGTGACTTTGACCATGGCATGGTTGTTGGTGCCAGATGGTCTGGTTTTAGTATTTCAGAAACTGCTCATCTCCTTGTAGCTTCACACACAACACTTACAGAGACAGTGCGAAAAGCAAAAAACATGCAGTGAGCGCCAGTTCTGCGGGTGCAAATGCCTTGCTGAAGAGAGAGGTCAGAGGAGAATGTCCAGACTGATTGGAGCGGACAGGAAGCCTACGGTAACTCAAATCACCACTCTTTACAACCATGGTGGCTGTAAAAAAAAAACATCTCTGGAAGCACGACACATCAAACCTTGAGGCGGATACAACAGCAGAAGACTACAAGCTCCACTCCTGTCAGCCTAGAACAGGAATCTGAAGGTACACTGGGCACAGATTCACCAAAACTGGACAGTTGAATATTAGGAAAAGTTCACCTGGTCTTTTTCCAATCTTCAGCTCTCCAGTTTGTTGAAGCTGTACCTGCTGATGTTTGATGTGAAGTTAACTGAAATTCTTGAATTGTATCTGCATGATTTTATGAATTGCACTGCTGCCACATGATTGGCTGGTAGGATAATTGCACGAATAAGTAGCAGTACAGGTGTTCCTATTTTAGTGGTCGGTGAGCGTATGATCCACAGTGATGTGAACAAAATGGCATAATAATAATGTTAGAAAAAAGGAGTGAAGGACAATGCACCATGTGATCTATTGTCAACGATTACCAAAAATAAGTTGTCATTTGTTCTATGCCTAGCTATGTGACCTGCATTCAGTGTGTGTACTTATTATATACAAGCTTTATCTTCCCTATGCATTTGTGTTTGTCTATTTCTGTCCTAAGCACTCACATTAGAGATATTAGATGTAATCTTAATGCCCAGAAAAGGCTGTCTTCACTGGTTCTACCGCTTATGCAAGGACGAGTGCATATGTGTGAGAGGTGTGCCTTCTTGTGCACATACCCAAGAGTAGGCCCTGCACTGCATCGTGGGAATGAACACGGGAGTTACTGGGTAATGCTGAAGTACCAGATACTAGCTCTGTCCTGCATGTCTCTCTCCATATGTTCCTTATTTATCTAAAGATACTTATGTCTCCTCTCTTGTGCAACACTGTTAAATATTTCTGATTAGGTTAAAACTCAGTGTTGAGGTTTAACCTGTAGCACTGTAAAAGGCAATAACATGGCTGGGGGATAGTGTTTGTTATGTGCAATGTTTTCAGCTGTGTTGTTTCAGTTGTCACTGCAACCATTTAAAAAAACTGATATCGTGATCTACGGTCATTTTGCTTTTAAAAATTACAGTGTATACAATCTTAGTAGAGCAAGTGGAGCCTTTACATTTATCCTCTTTTTTTTTTTAGTTCAGCAGAGAGAGCGAGACATGGGGGTGTTGATATATCAGTAATCAGATGGCTCTATCTACAGTTGTCACGCACTGAGGACTGGCAGCCTGGCTGGAAGTCTCTGGCTGATCAAGAACAGGATGTTCTGGGAGACGAGATAAGCTGCAGTGCAGGGAAAGGTCTGTACTAAATGCTTCCCCCTTTCTTCTCACCACACTGGATATAACTGCTACTTATAAATAGTGCCATTACAGCCCAATTAAAAATAGGAGCACATAAATACATTCATACATACACAGTCAGCTCTAGAAATGATTGGCTCCCATGGTATAGCTGGATTATTTTTTTTTTAAAAGATTGTTTTAGATTTGATTTTCTGTAAGTTTATTATAAGAAAATTTAAAATGAATAACTAAAAAATTTTAAAAATAAAACTTATTAAAGGATGTTTGATGTGACT